TATTCTTTTCTTTTCTAAGACATAAAAAATTTAATCAAAATAAAATTTTATTAAAATGAAGAAAATTTTTTTTGTTAAATAAAAGTATTTTATTAGAATAAATACTTTTTGATTGTTTATTTGCTTTGCTTTTTATAACATAGTTATTCTTGTTAATGGCCTTTTTTTTTTTTTTTTAGCAAAATATGGAATATTAGGTCGTATGCATTAATTAGGCCATGAAATAACATTGCAAACTTCCAAAAAAAACAGTCTCTTATTCCATGTGAAAACTGTTTTTTTTTTAATTTATTTCTGCTGGCAAACCACGCTAAACATTAAGTTTCTGCTGACAAACCACGCAAAACATTTGGTTTCTGCTGGCAAATCATGTTAAACATTTGGTTTCTGCTGGCAAATTACGTTAAACATTTGGTTTCTGCTAGCAACTCACGCTAAACATTAACTAATGCACTTTGTTTTTTAGTTTTGTTTATACTAAAAATAATAGTGTTGGTTATTCTTTCCCCAGCTTTTATATTTTGATTTGTCAGCCTAGATAATCTAATATAGTATAGTATATAGAATCTAATATAGTAATATAATAAGCAAAAAAAAAATTTTTTGTTTGAGTATTAAATTAAAAAAATTATACACAAAAATGGATTTAATGGGATATAAATCCCACAAAACAGTTGTTTTTGTTATTTAAAAATACATTGTAATTAAAAAAACGTCTCAATTTAAAAAAATATCACAAAATTTCCATTTTAAACTCACAATTTTTTAAAACAATTATTTAAAATAATGTTTTTACTCATTTAATAGAGAGTTGCATAAACACGATCTAACGAAAATATTTATTTAAATATTTATAGTAAAAAAAGAATAATCATGTTTTCATCTTAACACCTCGATTTTGAATTAGCTTACACTTTTAAACAATAAAATACTTTTTGATTTATTTATAAAAACAAAATATGCTCCGTTTCATTTGAAAAGGTAGAGTAAGCAGATTCGTTTGAATATACTGTTGAACGAAAAGTTCCATCTTGATTTATTGGGAAACAAGCTCATCTTGGTTTGATGAGATTGAACAAAGTGATTTCTGCGAACAAATTGTTTTAAAAGAGTTTTTATGAAATTCTAATCGATCTTTTTTTTTTAAGGGTAAAACCATATGGTTATTATTTTATTAAAAAACAAGATAATCATCAAAAAAACATTGAAATATTGAAGAGTATGCAACTCGTAAACCTTTTTGTATTTAAATCAAAACTACTGTAATTAAGTCCAACCAATGCGCACAGGGTTATGTTAGAAAAAAATAAAGAGTATGCTATCTTGCTTGTTTCGTTGTAATTCTCTGGTAAATCTTTAATTAAATAATAAATGTTTGAAAGCCACATATAACATAATAAACGAGCATGTAACATAAGTGAAATACTAAAAAACTATGCGCGTTGCAGTACTTTTGCACAGAAAACAACGTTGTTTCCTTTTCGTCTTCAAGAAATATTTTATATTTACTGTTGTGAATAGCATAAATAAAAACAATATAAAATAAAGAAAGTAGTAGTAGCAGCAGGATAGTTTTAAATGCAATGTAAACTTTTTTTTTAAGTGTCATTTTGCGAGGAACAATGAGATCAAAAACTTCAACAAGCCGGGTAACTTTAACAACCCGAGGTGTCGAACACGTTGATTTTATAGAATGTAGTTCTATGCTTTTATTAAAATACGTTAAACCTAAGTTAAATGACCACAATGCAATTTTCGAAAACGTAGAATTACTAAGGGTAAGGGTTCAAAATATGCTGACTCAGGATTTTGGTTTAAATTAAAACTAAAAGTTTTGAAATTATTTAATATAGGAAACCTGACTTTTTTTTTGCTCGTTGAACATTGCTCGTTGAACATTGTTCTATTGTGAATTTTCTGAATCTGGTTAGGGTAATACATTTTTTGATACAAATAAAATGCTTCAATTAAAACTTTCAATGAGTCTTGAACAAATGAAACCATGCTGAGATCAAAAACGTATGATATGTCATTTGTTGTAGTTGAACTCTCAGTTGCTCCGAGTTTTTTTGAAAACTGTGTCCAAACAATGTGGTGTTTTAACGCTAAAGAACTACAAAATTTAAAACGACGTAAAAGATTTACCAAGAGTTGCAAAACATGCATTTCTTTCAAATATTTGTAACGAAATGCAATTTTAAGTAACTCAAAATATTTATAAATTAAAAAAATGTTTCAAAGTGAAAAAATGTTGAGTGATCAAAAATTAACAATAGGATATTTTTTTTAAATCAAAACTTAATAATATAAAGAGTATCCAAAAAAAATCTTTTTTTGACATCCTATTTAAATATAACAGTTATAAATAAACCAACTAGAGAATAAAAAGTTTAGTAACTGCAATCGATAATATATTTATTAACAGTTATACAGTAACGTCATTTGAGACAGGTATTTTGAAAAGTGAAATTAGTCACATCCAAGTCACATTCGACATGAAACATCCTACGTCAATCCGACGGAAGCAAAATTTCTTTATTAATAGTAAATATTAGTAATTATATACGGATAAATTTATTATCATATATAAATATATTAAATTATTAAAGTATATAAAATATCTAAATTAATTTAAGTTTTAAACTAAATAAATTAAATTAAAATATGAAAACTTGAAAGCTTCTCAATTATTTCAACATTGAGAGGGCCACCAATGTTTTTATAGCAGCAATATAATGGATTTAAACACTACTCTCATGAGAAGTTACCAAAACGATATCGCTTTAATGATCAAGGCAACTGTACTTTTGCAATGGCGGATTTAAAACGCTATAGAGAAGTAAGAGAAAAAGCCCTTAAAGACAAAATTGATTTTTTGATCAAAAAAATTAATGAATTGAAAGTAAGAAAATCATCAGCTACGCCATCTTTTGTATCTTTGCTAACGGACAAAACGGTTGAGAGTAAAAAGCAACGGCAGCGATTAAGTACTTTTATAGCTGCTCAAAATAACACTCGAAGTTGCGAGTTAAAAGTAATTGTAGTCACATAGGAAATAACAAGTCAAACATAGTAGACGATAAAAAACTTGTTGAGGATTTTTTGTTAGCAATGTTGCCACTGCTATCGTACGTGTTAACTACCTCAAAACAAGTGAAAACAAAATAAATTGGTCGAACTGGAACATTATCCAGGTTTCACTACCTCATCTTTTATCTCGAACTGAAATACTCAAAATATGCGCCCACCACAAACTAGAGACAAACATGGGTATCTACCTACGCCACTACTAACATTCTAGATAATCCATTTCGAAATGTTATACATCGAAGGATAGGCTGTATCAATTGCATCAATACTATCAAATCAACATCGTTTTCAGTGCTACATATTTGCATCTCCAGCTAGAGCCCTAGCTGACTAGAGCCCTAACTGATTAGAGACCTAGCTGACTCACAGCCGCTCCTAAATCAGAAATCTCCACTGCCAACTAGACGTCCTCGACCAATAATTAAAGCAAAAATTATACAAATCATGCCTAATGTTTCAACCTTTCCACCTTGCTATCTACACTGCTGGGCAAACAACCCATGCTCACTCAACAATGAAAAACACCAAGAGCTGTTAGCTAAACTATCTGCTCTGCTTAAATCTAATTAGCCACACGTCCTATTTTTTGCGGAAACTTGGTTCACAGATTTATCAAACGTTACCATCAACTGTTATATTACATCAGTTGAACAAATCTGGCAAAATATAAAAATTTTCAAAGGATTGTTTTTCCTTGATTGCTTATATTGTTCGCACAACTTTATTGATCAGGTACTTACTCAGCTAATCACATTGATCACGGCTGTTCTACAGATACTGTCTTATATAAGCTGCTCAGCAATGCTACTATATGGCAATTTTAATTTTAGCCGTATATCATATGAGCCCATCAAAGTTAACGGTGGCATCGCAAATATTGTTCACGTGAGTGATAACCGTCATGGTGGTATCAGGTCCCAAAAGTGTCTTGATGAATGTCACCTAACTCAGCTTGTCACATTCCCAATATACCTTAGAAACATCGAACCTCAAAACTTTTGGCTCTGAGCCAGAACTAAACATCTAACCGTTACACCACGACTGTTTAACTAATTTAAGATTTGTGTCTGTGAACTTTAAGGATAAAGCCTTAGCATTTTCAATTATTTTTCTTTAGATCTTGATAATGAAATAAAATATTTTAAGTTTTCCAGCTCGGAGGTTTTTACAGCTCGGACTGTTTTATGTAAAATCGCAAGTGAATTGTTTCAGAGTTGAATACCGAAAAAATTAACAAAAATTGTTTATAAATATTTATGCACTAATTAACTTTACCATATAAGTTTAGTAAATAAAATTTAAAAAAAAATCTGGTTAAATTTACAAAATTATTTACTTAAATTTAAGGTTTTACAAAAACAAAATTATGTGGTTAAATTTGCAAAACGAGCTTTCTGATAAAACGTTTCTTGCAGTGTATCCTTTTATAAAAGAAATTAATTAAAACACATATCAGTGTAAAAACCTATGAAAAATGTAAGTTAAAAAGTTTATTTATAGATTATATTGAATGAAAAAGGTAGATATTATAATCTACTGTAATCTTATGATTATCGCAGATATAATGATATTTCTATTTTTTTCGAAAAGGTCTCCAAAATATCTTTATAGTTCATATATGTTTCAAGATTAGGAATAAATAACAATGTAAAATTTGCAATAAAAAACTAATATAGCTTTATAAAAAACTATTTTATCTTGTTTAATGTAACTAGAACATTAACATTTGGCATCGATTTAAAAAAACATTTAGATGTTAATAATAATTAGCAAAAAACATATTTATTTACAGCAAAGACTATAAGCCTTTTATAACGAATATTAGAAAAATAACGTTCTAAAAATAAGACAATTTTTCAAACGATGTTATATATTGTTATATAAATTTTTTCACAAATGTTCTCGTGGTTGCATTTGAGAAAATTTTTGATTTGTTTGTTTATTGGAGAAACTTGTTGTAAAACTTGCATGAAAACGAAAGTTGAAAGTGATTTCAAAGGGGAGTTCACAATACCAGCCTTATTTCCTTTAAGGTGTTCTTCACAGGAAAATATAGATATGAGAACTGTTGCATGGATTGAAGCTATGAAATATACTATCGATGAAGAGAATAAGAAGCAAAACAAGAATCTATTCGATTATGTGATTTACGACACATACGATTCAACAAACTTTGACAAAACATCATTTGCTCTTCTAGACACTTTAATGTTCAGCCCCGACAATAAAAGTGAAAGTTGTGCGTGCAATGACTTTGTTCAGCAAAACAAAATATTAGGTTTTATTGGTCCATCAGAATCAGCAAACTGTATTTACGCTCTTGCACTAATATTACCTTATACAAACTTTCCAATCATTAGTTATTCTGCAACAAGCGTGGATTTAGATAATAGAATTTTATACCCAAACTTCTTTCGTACGGTTCCCCCTGACAACTATCAAGTATTATTTATTAAAGACGTTTTAAAAAAGTTTCATTGGACATATGTTGCTGTCATAGCGATTGATACCTCGTACGGCAGAGCAGGAATCGAGCAGCTTGTAAAAGTGGTTGAAATTGATGCGTCTGAAGATAAAGTTTGTTTAGCTTTTACGACGTTACTGCCACAAGTTTATGATCAAAGTAAATATTCAAAAGTAGCAGAAAAGTTGATTAAGGAGAGCAGGGCAACTGTTATAGTGGTTATTGGAACATTTAACCTTGTACAAAATTTGATAAAAGAAACGGATAATCAAAATATATCAAACCGACTATGGCTATTAAGTGAGGCTACTGGTAAAAACAATTGGTTTTTTAATTACAATAATACACTTAAAAATACTTTTCTGTTTATTGTTCAGACTGAGGGGGAAGACGATTTATTTAAAAAATACTTTTTTGGTTTAACTTACCAAAATTCAAGCCCATGGTTGAAAGCAGTTTTCGAAAAACTCGGAGCAACTGAGAGTTCAAATACAACAAATGACATATCACAAGTTTTTGATCTCAGCTTGGTTTCATTTATTCAAGACTCAGTGAAAGTTTTAATTGAAGCATTTTATTTGTATCAGAAAATGTATTACCCTAACCAAATTCAAAAAATTCACAATAGAACAATGTTCAACGAGCAAATCAAAAAAGTCAGGTTTCCTATATTAAATAATTCTAAAACTTTTAGTTTTAATTTAAATCAAAATCCTGAGTCAGCATATTTTGAACTTTATACCCTAAGTAATTCTACGTTTTTGAAAATTGCATTGTGGTCAAATAACTTAGGTCTGACATATTTTAATAAAAGCATAGAACTACATTCTATAAAATCAACGTGTTCGACACCTTGTAATCCGGGAAATATGAAACTAGTAAGTCCGCTAAATAAATGTTGTTGGACGTGCATTTTATGTCCAGACAATTCAATAACAACGTCGTCAAATGATGAAAATTGTACAATATGCAATGAATTAATAGATTCTTACCCAAATGAAAACAAAAGTGAGTGCATCAAACGTAACCGTTTATATTGGAATTTTAAGAGCAGCTTGCAAATGCCGCATCAGATTTTAGTTTTATCGTTATGCAGCATCGGTGTATTATTTAGTTTAATGTTTATTTTCACTTTTGTTATGAAAGAATCGACACCCGTTGTTAGATCTTCAAACTACATATTGTCGTTGATTCAGTTGTCATTGCATCTTGTTATGTTTACTCTACCTTTATTGTCATTTCCTGAAGAGACATATATAAAATGCGTTTGTAGAATTTATTTAGGGAGCTTCTCCCACGTGGTCATAATTACGATTATATTTGTTAAAGTTACCCGGCTTGTTGAAGTTTTTGATCTAATTGTTCCTCGCAAAATGACACTTAAAAAAAAAGTTTATATTGCATTTAAAACTGTCCTGCTGCTACTACTACTCTCTTCTTTTTATATTGTGTTTATTTATGCTATTCACAATAGCAAATATAAAACATTTCTTGATGACGAAAAAGGAACAACGTTGTTTTCTGTACAAAAGTACTGCAACGCGCATAGTTTTTTAGTATTTCACTTATGTTACGTGCTCGTTTATTCTGTCATATGTGGCTATCAAACATTTAAAATTAAAGATCTACCTGATAATTACAACGAAACAAGTAAGATAGCATACTCTCTATTTTTTTCTAACATAACCCTGTGCGCATTGGTTGGACTTAATTACAGTAGTTTTGATTTAAATACGAAAAGGTTTATGAGTTGCATACTCTTCAATATTTCAATGTTTTTTTTGATGATTATCTTGTTTTTTAACAAAATAATAATCATATGGTTTTACCCTAAAAAAAATGATCGATTAGAATTTCATAAAAACTCTTTTAAAACAATTTGTTCGCAGAAATCACTTTGTTCAATCTCATCAAACCAAGATGAGCTTGTTTCCTCTTTCCCAATAAATCAAGATGGATCTCTTCGTTCAACAGTATATTCCAACATATCTGTTTGCTCTACCTTCTTAAATCAAAAAGAGCATAATTCTTCTTTAAAAATAAATCCAGAAGGATTTGCTTGTGCAACAATATATTCTAACAAATCAACTTGCTCTAGCCCACCAAAGCAAAATAAACAACTTTCCTCTTCACCTATAAATCAAGATGAATGTCGTTGTTCAACAGTTTGAGTAAATATGAATCAGGTCAAGATGTCAAGATAAAAATATTCAACATGTTTTTAACAACAAAACCATTCAAAAACTTTTCTGCTAAATATTGTTTAATTAAAATAAATTCTTAATTTTTCATAGTCCTATAAAAAATATTCTTGCTACGCACATATCAAAAAAAAAAATTAATTTTCAGCTCAGAGTTCAACAAATATTTTCACGGTATTTTTATCAGTAGTTTTTTAGGATATTGTATCTAGAAGCTTAAAAATCAAAAGAAAATCGTTTTAGAAATGATTTTAAACTGTCGGAATATCTTTGCACAAAAAAGGGAGGCGGTTAGAGTTGTAAAGTAAAGGTTTTTTTATAAAAAGTTAATATTAAAATTTTAAAAATATCTTATAATTGTTCCAGTATTGCAGGCTATTAAGTTTTGATCATCTTAAGATGTTTATTTTTCTATAGAATTGTTTATGGAACATTATATAAAGTTTAAAGAAGCTGTTCTGTCAAAAGTTTTTTCAAAAGTAAGGTTTCCGTTTCTTTACTTTATTTAGTAATTTCTTTATTTAATATAATAAAAAATAACACAGTAGAATATCGCAAATCCTCATATTTGTTTGGTTGCTGTTAATAAATAACATAAATTACTGTATTTGAAAACATCTAATATATTATTTAAGAGGCTGTCCATTAATTACATTTTTTTTAAATTAAGTTTAAAAAAATATATAATCAATCTTATATAGTGTGACCATTACTGGCGCGTTTATAAAGAAAGGGGCTGTCCATTAAATACGCCAACAATTTTTGGCAATTTTTACATCCCCTTCCCCCTTGTCAAGAGACAAAAAAGGTTTATGTAAATACATGGTCTACATTATATTATTTAAACGTTTATACCAGGGTCGTCAACCTCCAGCTTGCAAGCTTCGTGTAGTTCTTTCGATGTCAAAATGCGCCTCTTTAGCTTCATATACAAATATTAATACAATATTGAAATAAAGATATTGGTAGCACTTTGAAAACAGAGTTTTTAAAGAGCTACTAACATCTTCATTTCAAATCTTTTTTCAAACCATCTACCAAATCTTTATTTCAATATTATATTAATATTTGTGCATAGAGCTAAAGACTCGCATCAACCGCAAGGCTGTTAACCCCTGGTATAAACGTTTAAGTAATATAGTGTGGGCCAAGTACTTACTTAAACTTTTTTGTTATCATAGCAGACTAACCAATAATAACTTTTAAAAAATAATAGTGTTATGAGTAAACATTTTGTGTGTGCTTATTTAGTTCTGTACGTATTGGGTCTTTTTAAAGCGCAACTTGTTAACTTGTCTTGACCTTCCCTTCTCCCGCTTGTAAACATATGTAAATAAAAAATCCAGCCCCCCCCCTCCCCTAGTTTGTTGACGCAATTTATGGACTGCCCCAAGTAGTAAGAAACAAATTTTAATTATTAAAACTAAATTATAATAATAGTAGTATAAATAATAAAAATAACAATAACAATAATAATAGCAATAATGGGATATTTATATCGTGTTTTTGTAATAAAAGAGTGTATTTATTTAAATTTAATGAATTTTAAAAATTCAACTTAATAAAAAAAGTTAAAATAGTTAATAAGTTTTTGTATTTTCTTTGATTCGTTAAATTAGGATGCCGTTCTAAATTTCATAGAGTTTAACAGCAAAACCCCATTTTCTGCGCAACAAAGAAAGTGAAACACCAAACTAAGCTATTGCAAAAAAGTATAGAAAATTACTCGCGTATCAACAAAGACAAATCTACTTCAGTTACATAAAATAAATTTAAAAGCAGAACTGGTTCGTTCTCCGGCATTGGAAGAAAAATTTAAAGCAATATGCACTTCTATTGATATACGTGCTGGGTTGGCTATTAAGCGATTTGTCAACATACATAAATCTCCAAACACTGTTAAAAAAATGGTACCAGATTTCTCTAACATTATAAAGAATGTTATAAGAAATGAAGTAAGACAAAAACTTAACAGTGGAACAAAGTTTTTAATTTCTTTTGATGAGTAGACGTTAATTCAAAATACGCGTTATTTGAATATCAATTTACAAGATAGAGACAATATCTGGAATTTAGGTTAAGCAAGGATTTTAGGGACAATGCAATCTGAAAAGTGTTTAAGTTTACTTAAAGAAACACGCTCCGTGTTTGGTTTAAATCTTGAAAAAAGTATTGTGTGCATAATGACAGACGTAGCCAGCGTAATAAAAAAACAACTACAGATTAATCAACAGCTATGCTTTGCATCACAGTATACAATACGTCAGCATCAAATTATACGCAGAGACATTTAGTTGAGGAAGTTGATGATTACATTGAAAATTTTGCAAATGAATTTGAATTTAGCAAAAGCTGTAAATCAGATAACGATAATGATGGTGATGAGACTTGCTTTATAGTGGATAGTCAAATAATTGAAGTCTTAATAATTGCAAACAAAGCTATTGATCCTGTGATTAATAAAGTTAGAAAAATTTTGATGATAAAAGATCACCAACTAAAAACGATGTCTTCAAAAGTTCGTAAAAAATGACTTTAGAAAACTCTTCATTTAATTAAAGATAGTAAAACAAGATGGAGCAGCTTAATATCAATGCTTGTTACAAGTTAAAATATTGGCTCTAAAAGGCGCTTATTGATATCAGTGTTAATGATTCTATAAAAATGATAGATAAAGAGTATGTAATTGTTTATGAGCTAATAAATGTGCTAAGTCCAGTAAAAGCAGCAGTGGAAGCACTTTATCGACGCGATGCAAACGTTATAACTGCATACATTCCGTTAGAGGTTATGCTAACTAAATTAAAAGTACTGAGTACTATAACAAGTTGTCAACTTTTTCATGTCTTAGCCTCCAGAATCAAAGAACGAAAGACTGAATTTAGTAGTTTACTGTACTATCTACAATTCAAAGAAACCAAGTTAATGCCTATAGGTGATGCTTTTGAGACAAATTTTAAAAATAAAAAATTGTTGAAGCTTCTAACTATATTAAATGTAAAAATTTTAAATCACCCTACAAATTCCTTGGACAACGTTGAAGATTTAGTAAGCCAAGAAGATGATGAAATATCGAAAAGCACAGATAATGAAATGCCAAAAACTATTAGCAAGCAACTAAATGAAGCCCTTTATCTACAAGTTAACTGCAATATACGTAATTAAATTATGACTTTTCTTTCAGTTTTAAAGCATAAAATAATGCCGGGATTTTCCGTGAGATTGCAGAAATTAATTATAGAATCCCGAATACTGGGATTGTTTAATTAATTCCCCGAAAATAGAAGTTTTCTAGACTTTTGCAAACCCTATACAAAACTATTACAGGCTTACATAAAAATGTAATTAAAATCTGAATACTTAATATCTCTGTACAGTTACCCAACAGGTATATTCCATTTTAAGATTAATTAATGCAATTTTTTCAATAAAATAACTTTCAAAAAATAATAAATATTTAAAAATAAACTTGCTTGCAAAAGTAAGTAAACTTATTGATGAAAGTAAAGGCATACCAAATTCTTTTTTTGGCTCAAAGAGGTTACAAAATACCATTGGTTATCTGCCTGCTACAAAATATTAGTTTTGATTCTTATTAAGTTCAGAATCCTTTCATCTCATTACGTTTTTACCTAAACCAATAACAATTCATAATAATGTTTGGTAAGGAATTTGCTTTCTGTAAGTCATTACAAAGTTGAGCAGTTCGGTTAATTTACAAACAGAAATAAAGTTTCTTAACACATCTGTTGACTATTTTTTTTTTCTTTTCTTTTGCAATAACTGTCTATACATAAATTGACCATATTTGAAAAATACCACGCGTACAAGGAATAATTTTGGTTTGTATAAAAACCAGAGGGAGCATTTTTTTGAAAGGCGTCAAAAATAAAATAAAAATAGAAACGCCCAAGGGCAATTTTTTTTAGCGTCTATATTCACCTATTTTTAGATAAAATTTTGCATAAATTTAATAAAATGATTAATTATATTTTTTATATTTTCAAGACGGTTTTGCCTTGCCCTATTTTGTGTTGTACTAACAGTTTTTGAATATATGTTTAATTTCAATTTTTTAGTGGTCAAACAGGACAAAGCGCAGTGGAGCACGTGCCCCCTTCGTTACCGCCCTGCCTACGGGCCTGGTTTAAATGGGTTTTACTAAAAACTCATTTAATTATTTTAAAATACCATGTGAAGACTAAATTAATGAAAAAATATTAAACAATATTTGCATTTTTAAATCGCAAATATTTTTCATAAGACTGAATTGTTTTCAGCAACATGTCATCTTTTTAAATTCTGAGCAGGGGTTGTCCATTAATTACATCAACAAAATAGGGGGAGGGGGTCTGAACTTTTTTGACAATTGTTGACTTGGAGAGGGGGAAGTCAATTAAAGTTGACGTCAACAATTTTTCTTTTTTTTTGAGTTTCATTGCTGAAATAACGGGAAATTAGGCTGAGTTTGTAGAATAGTTTCTTTGTATAGGGGGAGGGGGTCAATCAAAAGTTAACGTAATTTTATAGGGGGGTCTCTGGAAATTTGACAAATTGTTGACAAGGGGGAGGGGGAGGTAAAAATTTCATATAATTTGTTGACGTAAACAATGGACAGCCCCGCAGCTATATTTTCTTAAATTAAAGTTAACGAACGAAATAGCTGCCAAAGTTTTCATTGTAAGTTGGGATTTCCCTTTCCATCCAAAAAGCATTGGCAATCAAAAACAATCTACGGAAGTGTTTGTATCTGGCAAACATAAAGCGGCTTCCACTAATTTTAACAAATTGTTATAAGGAACGTGATTATTTTTGAAATCAGAAAAATATTCAACCCATTGCTTGTCACCTTCAACAGACTGTGAGTTCCAAGAAGTAAACCTTTTTTTTTGTGCAATATAAATAAGTTCTCCGAATTTCTTCGAACAATTCATTGTCATCGAATGTGATTTCTATTGATTTTTTCAAAAAAGTTTCAATAATTTTAATCCTTTCAACTATACAGTTAAGTAAAGACCATTTAAAAATTTCAACCTGATTAAAGTG